CACTTCTTTTTTTCTTTTTATCGTAAATCTCTTCTAGTACTTTGTGGTTGGCATCCAATAATGTAACTTTAAATTTTTGTTCTGGCAGCTATTTTTTATCGTAAATATCTGTCCTTGGGGTTGGTGATCAACTACTTATTTTTCCAGATCGTGATTTTGCTTTGTATTAAACTTGCTTATTAGTTCTGAAGAAGATGGTAACCTGTATAAATTTCCATATAAAACTTAAATAAGAAAATTGCTAATATTTAATACATGTCAAAAATTTTATAATCTTAATGTTCTTGAGAAAAACGCAATAAAAAAATTATTGTTCTTTTTTTTTTTAGAATTAGATCTGCCAATGTTTTAAACTTCACTTTCTATATTTAGCTTCAGAGATTACATAAAACTTAATCAATGAATTTTAATACAACAAAAATGCAATAACAGAACTTTAAGAGAAAAAAAAAATATGATTATCAAATCTGTAATGCTTATCCAAAAACCAGAAAACACTATTTGCAGATTGAAATTTCGCACTTTTCTTTTTCTTTGTATGACTTGATTATCAATTATTATATACCATCAAATAACGCCTATGCATATTATTTTGGATTTTACAGTAAATAAAATGTATGTACCTATAAAGAAAACAAATATATAATAAAAGGATCAGTTTAATTATAACACACTTGTAAAGTTGTACTTAATAAAAAATGCCAATGTTAAATATCCATATTTCAAAGGGGTCAAAAACCCTCCATGGATGATATACACATCCAATACCATATGAAATGACCATTAAAGAGTTTTTTGATAAACTTATTATAGGTGAAATATCTTCAGAGTGCGATATTTCTGTAAGCTTCTCCAAAACAATCGATTGTATTAAATTAAGCCAAACATTAGGTGCAGGTGCAACAATCATTCAAGCTAGCCCTCATTGTGAAATAATGGAATCAACTAAAGCATTTGGTTTAAACATACACTATCATCTTAAAACTAGTGACATCATAACCTCTTATTTAGCATTGTGTCAAAATGCACTAGAAATTCTTATGCAAACTCAAAAAAAAATTTTTTGCCAGACCTCTTGCAATATAAAAGGTTAAACAATAAACAAGTATTATATAATGATATAATCAAATAGATTCATCAAAACGGTGTAGAGTGGTCTTCAATTGATAATGCTAATGCACAAGGAAAAAAATTCGTTAGTTGTTTGTGTAATGCAATTTGGTATATTGATATACATGATCACTTAAAACTTAAGGAACGTAGTTATCATATTCCAGAGCTATTTATGGGGTTCTTTGGCCACGTTAACTCAAAATCATATAAGGAATCTAGAAACCTTTTAATATGATAGAATTAGATCTTTATTGTCAAGCACTTGCATCACACACCACATCACAGTAAATACTAAAACCATCATTCAATTGGCTTTGTGAGCCCTATAATATCTTGATTACTGTCATTTTAAATTATATTAGCTTTCTAAAACAGCAAAATAAAATTACAACAAAAAACTATATGTCAATAACACCAGTTCGAAGTATAGAACAGGTTATAACAATTAAAATTCACAAAGCCAATACTCATATAATACCAAATGACAAAATTAAATATAATGATTAGACAATAAACTCAAGGATTTACCTCTATGGATATCAATTGATATTGAAAACTACCTACCAACAGATTCTATATAAGTAATTCTAAAAATGATAATTGTTAATAATTAATATCATGGCTAAAACTTGAAACAGCTGAAGCTTAAAATCAGAGACCTCGATTTAAAAAATATAGGCTCTACCAAAATCTATTTATACACTTTTATTATCAAAACTAACCCTAAATCCTAACCTAACTATTAAAAAAAAGCTTGAAAAATACTACAATTAATATAATACTATCATATATATGTTAGGTTAGAATTGAGTGCTAGAGTTGTTAATAACAGAGTATATGTGTACTTGTTACCCAAACTAAAATAAAATCTCAATCCCAAACATAATAAAAATCGTCCCAAAATCTCAAGTTTCAAACTCTTGAGGTTTTGCCAGCAAGTATAGGAATGTGGAAAATAAACTAGAAAAACCATCATTTGTTTTTAAATGATGATTCTTCTAGACTATTCCCCATGTATGGGTTTAGAAAGATTTATATTTTTAAAGAAACCCTAAATTTTAATATCTGTAATAATAAATAATTAATCTCATAACTCTTTTAGTTCAAGAATGCATTATATACAGGGATTATCTCGAGCATTTACCTTTAAACTTAGTGAATTTCGATTTAACTCTGGTAATAATGCATATAATGCAGTTTCAATTTGAAAGATTGATAAAGGTGCTGATGAAACCATGATGATGCAACAAAACACTAATATAGTTAATGAACTTCAGGCCCATTCTCCTCACTATCATACCTGTGCAATGAGAAAAAATTATTTTCGTACTTGTGACTTACTTTTACCAAGAGTTAAATCTGCAGCACTTCGCACTATTTATCGTATATTAACCGGGGATTCTTCAGCATCAAAATTTGCAAATAAAGCCAAAATAGATGAAAGAATTAAACTAGCTCTTAAATTAGGAGATTCTGAAGTTACAATTGATTTGCATGAACACATTCCTAGAAAACCAAGTAAATTTGTAGTTTTTTGGGAAATAGCAGCTGACTTTCTTTTAAACAAAGCAGCGGAATTTGTAACTGTGGTCGACGAATGTCAACATGACACAATCATCCACCTAGCAACAGCAATTTCAATTAATGATTTATTAAATCAAATCAAGAATGAATGTTCCCCAAATACACCAATTCCAAGTATATAATAGCTTCATTTACAATTATAGCCTAAATACCCTATACGACTTAATAGTTTGCAATACACTGGACGCCTACCTTTAAAATTTATGGTACAAGTAGTATTACTAATCAATTGACTTTTAGATACTAACTAATCAATTTCAATTAATCGATTAGTTGGTATCTAAAAGTTCAATCGGGTTTAGGTCAAAATCTCTTTCGAGATTCGACCTAGACAGTTCAATTGATTAGTTGCCAACTAAAAAAATACCAATTAATCAATTGATAATTTGTAACACTAGATACAAGTTTGGCAGCTTCACGCCTATCATCCTGATACACATTATGCTTCAGCATTGTTTAGATATGAAAAAGAATTTGCTACAAAATTTCGTGAAATTACAATATTAGTATTTTTAGATGACAAGTATAGGTGTAAAGTTAGAGAACCCGGGTATCCAGTTGCTGCTATAGAGAGAGGTAAGCAAGTTGTAGTTAGTAAAGAATCAACATTGATAGTTGGAAATCATGACTATACAAAGACTAGAATAATACTAAGTGTTATAATGATATGTAATATCTCAGAGTCAGTTGATGGTAATTTTTATATGAAAGACGTTCATATTGGATTAAAAGACGCTATTTTTCAACCTTTCTCACCAATGTGCTATGCAGTTGAATTATACAATATCCTCTTTAAAAAAATATTATCAATAAACCTGTCTTATGTCTTTACACAGACAGTGGCCCGAACCATCATTGTACGTTTGCTAGTGTGCAACTGTTATATATTTGCTTATTTCTAGCTTTAGATCTAGACTATTTTGTTGCTGTAAGAACACCACCTCAACACTCATAGAAAAATCCTGTAGAACATATAATGTCTATCTTAAATCTTGGGCTTCAATGCATTGGTTTAATGAGAGGTAAAATGAGTGATAAGTTAGAAAAATTAATAAGCAAAGCAAATACAATGAAAGCAATTCGTCATTTGTCAGAAAATATTCCTACCTTGAAAGATGCCTTTATCAAAAGTGTCCAACAACCGATTCGTCTAATCCATAGCATTTTTGAATATCAATCTTTAAAGGAAGTACCTTTTAAAACCTTTAATGTGGCAACTGAAAATGAAATAATGGAATTGTGGAAAACAATTCACCTAATTGACGATAATGTATCTCAACAAGATCATTCAACAGAAAGCATTGCAAAAAGAATAAATAAACATAATATAGTGGTTAATAATAAAGCTGACTGATGTTGAAAGTTGAAATAATTTTCATTTTCATTTTTTTATTTTTTTTTATTTTTTTTCTTTTTTCCTTTTTTTTTTCTTATTATATAAATGTGTGCTGCCAAGGAAAACCTGCCACCAGATTTTTTCATTTATAAACTACCAGACACAATCTATAAAAAATCAAACAAATGTCTAGTAAGCAATAAACTTGAAACCTTGGTAACAGGTTTCCCTTGGCAATACTTATATACAAGTTTTAGTATGGTTATACGTTCACATAAAATCTCAATTTTCATCATTAGTCACAGTACATCATATGAATAATATTAATATTTGTCTTCTTGCAGCCACGGTTGAAAGAATTCATGAAATACTGTTGTAGAATAAGACATTATTCTTTTACTATTAAAAAGTGTGGAGATGAAGCATGTATGACTTGCTTATCACTTTGATGTTTTCAGGAAAAATTTGAAAAACTTCATTACATTCCCAACCCAACCCCTGGCGAAGATCTTCATTATAAATCATTTGAAGAATTATATAGCACCATCACAACAGAAGAATATAGGCACTCACTTAAAGATGCTAAATTATGAACCACCAAGTCAAGTAAAACAAAAGCTACTATGAAATATATCATACCATTCAGCCCCTCTTCTATACGTGCAAAAAATGTTGGAATCATTGTTGTTTGTGCTGAATATAAGAAGCCACATCTGTTATTTAGTGCAAAGAAATTACAATTAAAAGAATGCAAGTTGTTAGAATCTTTTTTGATACTATTTTATACACATGCGGAATGTCATTTCATAATATCTGTGATCTTACATCTACCAAATCAATCAATCCTGCTGAAATTAATGAAAGTAATGATCACCGGAATAATGACCTAAATAACCAACCAAGTGATGATCGACAAAGCAATGACTAATTAAGTAACAACCTACCAAGCGATAATGCTACTGACAATATGATTGCTAGATTTAATTGCCCTAATATAGAAAGTATAGACGTTAGTGACGAAGAGGATATAGATAAAAAGGAGATTAATGAAGAGGATGAAGAGGATATTAATGAAGATGATAAAGTGAATATTGACGAAGAGAATGAAGAGGATATTAATAAAGAGGATGAAGAGGATAATAATGAAAAGGATGAAGGGGATATTAATGAAGAGGATGAAGGGAATATTAATGAAGAAATGTCTAAAGCTAGATCAAAAGAAATTTCTACGGAAGATCCTATCTATAAGCTTTTCCAGCAAGTCTTCGTAAATGATTCTTGGAGTTGTGCTTCACCAATCAAAAAGCCTTACTATTTAGCTAGAATATTTCTTGCGGTGTGTTTTTTGTGTGATAATAGAAATATAACAAAAATATCAAATAATGAATAGCCATTGTGCATTGGGTGTGGTGAAAAGGCTTTATCAAAAAAATGGTATAAATGGCATTCAAGTGTTAATAAAAAGGAGAAACAGCACAGAACTGTATAATATATAAATTACTTATAGCTTTTATTTTTATTGGTCTTTATAAATAAATCAGCTGTGCAAAGTAGTTTTCGTTAAAGTCGTTACTTTCGTTAAAGTCTAATTTTACTAATTTTACATATATAAAATGATGCGATTTGATTGGCTATCCACTTTCTGCGCATAAAAAAAAATTTCGAATTTTTTTATTTTCGGTCCCGGCCGGATATGAAAACCAGTTAATTTTATTTGTGTCGCCTTATTAAAAATTTTAAAAGTAGTAACAAAACTTATAATATTCTTAATTAACAAATTGATAAAATTAATATATAATCTTAATATAATTTTCAAACTTTCTAGGCTTAAATTCTACTCAAATTTTAGAATAAATTAAATATGTTCAAAATATATAATACTAACTATTTTAAGTATAATATATAGAAAACTTATTTTCTATATCAACAAATATATTAGATCTCTAAAAATAGATATAAAACTCTTATTAGCAAACCTATATAAGCTATTAATAGTATTCTTTTTTTTTTTTTTTTTGTTATAAATGCCATAGTTGAAACTTTATTTAATAAAGTAGAAAGAAATTCTACATTAAAGATTTCAGAACTACATTTGTGCTACTATATAATAGACACCCAATGTGACATTATA